CAGAGCAAAAGATCTCTAAAAAAGAGGAAAATAAGGTGGACAAGATTTCTACTAAGGACGTAGAGGAGTCAAAAGATAAAAGATCTGCACTGGGTTTTGGATTTCAGATTCAAAGCTATGAAGCCTCGAAACTAGATGATCTTTGTAGGCAGGTTAAGCTTGCAAACGCTGAAAATAAATGTGTATCATCGAGGAAAGATGTCAAAACAGTTAGAAATGAAAATCATCAAGATGTTTTGGAGGAGCATGAACAAACAGGTTTGAAGAAAACTAGGGTTTGTGTTAAAGCATCATGTGAAGACCCATCAGTACGTACCACCAAAACCATACATTACATATCTGTGTTTATTTAGCATTTCACATCTAATTTGATTATTTGATCATATATATACGTTACATGAATATATAGATAAACGACGGTTGCCAGTGGAGGAAATATGGTCAAAAGACTGCGAAAACCAATCCTCTCCCACGAGCCTATTACCGTTGCTCCATGTCGTCAAATTGTCCCGTTAGAAAACAGGTATAATACATTCTATAATTTCTCAATCCAAATATCTGTTTATTAACTATTGGTTTTGAGTAAAAACTTTTAAAACGAATTTCTATAGGTGCAAAGATGTGGAGAAGAAGAAACCTCCGCTTTTATGACAACGTACGAAGGAAACCATGACCATCCTCTCCCCATGGAAGCAAGCCACATGGCAGCTGGAACATCCGCGGCTGCCTCCTTATTACAATCTGGCTCCTCCTCTTCCTCCTCCTCCACCTCAGCGAGTCTAAGCTATTTCTTCCCTTTTCACCACTTCTCTATCTCCACCACTAACTCGCACCCGACTGTAACATTGGACCTCACACGACCAAACTATCCCAATCAGTTACCAGACGACTACCCTCTATCGTCCTCCTCTTTCAGTCTCAACTTTTCCTCTCCAGATCCTCCACCTCCATCATCGCATGACCACACCTTGAACTTTAGTGGCTTGCGAACACAAGCTCCGTTGAGTACAGATTCCTTATTGGCCCGTTATCGAACGAGACTTTCCGGACAGCAGTAAGCCAGTAACTGTATCGGTATAGCTAGACACAAGTCTAGAAAGTAACTGATTTCCGTTTTCTTTGTCATTCATTTGTTTTGCAGCCTCTGAAAGAGAGATCTGGTTTTGGCATGATATGCAAAATGCTTATATACTTGTAGATATCCAAATGTTTAAATTAGTGGATTACCTATCATATCATGGATTATATATGCATATGAAGGTTTTGTAAATTAATGGTTTACACAAAAATTTGATACACCAAATATTTTTTTTATGTTTATAAATTTTTCATATACAATCTTATTTTTATTTTTTTGGTGAATTAAGTTAGTATGACTATGATGAAACAATGATATCTAAAATGGAAGGCCCATTACTACAGTTTCCCCTCTTAGAATTCGGCCCATCCACGTCAGCGACTCCGGATTTAGCGCAGTTTTAAACTCTTTTGACACACGACCACTTATTATAACGCCACGTGTCAATGCACTTCATCAGGACGCGCGTAACCGCCAGAAAAGCGAAACCAAAGGTCCATCTCCGACACGTTGCTTATCCGACTACGAAACTCACTCACCACTGTTCTAAATTCTCTCTCTCTCTCTTTTTTTTTTCCTTAAACCAAAAAAGCTCTCTTTTTTTCTTCTGGGTTTCTTCGTTTCCAATCTAAAATCATCATAGATTTGTTTGAAATTCTTCAAATTGAACCGGTATCAAGAGATGGCGGGAAGTGAAGCGGTAGAAGATAAGGAGATAAAATCGGCGGTTTCAAGCTGTGAAGCGTATTTCGAGAAAGTACAATCAAGGAAGAATCTACCCAAATCTCTTCAAGAAACCCTAAACTCTGCTTTCGCCGGAATCCCCGTCTCCTCCTTCCCTCAAGTCCCCGGCGGCAGAGGTAAAAATTAGGAAGATCCCATTTTTTCGATTTCTCCAAATTTCCTGATTTCTCGTTTAAAGTTTGAGACTTGGCAATGGTTTAGATTCAATTAGTTTTTTTGTTTGATCGTAGTGATAGAGATTCAAGCGGAAACACCTGTATCAGAAGCAGTAAAGATCTTATCAGACAGCAAGATTCTATCAGCTCCTGTGATTAACACAGATCACGAGAGTTCTTTAGATTGGAGAGAAAGATATTTAGGAATCATTGATTACTCTTCAATCATCTTATGGGTACTAGAGAGTGCTGAACTCGCTGCAATTGCCTTGTCGGCTACGTCAGCAACTGCTGCTGGTGTTGGTGCTGGAGCTGTTGGAGCTCTTGGTGTTGCAGCGCTCGGGATGACCGGCCCGGTTGCTGCTGCAGGTCTAGCCGCGGCTGCGGTTGGAGCAGCCGTTGCTGGTGGTGTTGCAGCTGAACGTGGGATTGGGAAAGATGCTCCAACTGCTGCTGATAAGTTGGGGAAAGATTTCTATGAAGTTATTCTTCAAGAAGAGCCTTTTAAATCAACCACTGTAAGTTTTTTAATAGAACATTAAGTTATTTGTGTTGTGATGGATGGTCCTGATTGATCATGGATATATGTTTATGTTGTCAGGTTAGAACAATACTTAAGTCGTTTAGATGGGCTCCTTTTCTTCCGGTTTCAACAGAGAGTTCGATGTTGAGTGTTATGTTGTTACTCTCGAAATATCGGTTAAGAAATGTGCCGGTTATTAAAACAGGAGAACCGGATATCAAGAACTACGTTACTCAATCTGCAGTTGTTCATGGTCTTGAAGGTTGCAAAGGTAGAGATTGGTTTGATCACATTTCCGCTCTCCCGATTTCTGATCTCGGCCTCCCGTTTATGTCACCCAATGAGGTAATAAAATAAACTTTAAGAAGTCATGACATTAGGCTCGTAAACCGCTGAAATTGAACATGTTGGTTTCAGGTTATTAGCATTGAGAGTGAGGAACTTATCCTTGAAGCATTTAAAAGGATGAGAGACAACAACATTGGTGGTCTCCCTGTAGTTGAAGGGTTGAATAAGAAGATTGTTGGTAACATTAGCATGAGAGACATTAGATATTTGCTTTTACAACCTGAAGTCTTTTCCAATTTCAGGTTTATTTTTACTCACTTGTTTCTCATTACAACTTCTCTGGTAACAATGATGACTGAATGATCTCTTTGTTGATGATAAAGACAACTCACGGTGAAGAGTTTCGCGACAAAGATTGCTACAGCGGGAGAGGAATACGGTTTAGCGATTCCTGCAATAACTTGTAGGCCTGATTCGACTTTAGGGAGTGTTATAAACAGTTTGGCTTCGAGGTCGGTGCATCGGGTTTATGTAGCGGCTGGAGATGAGAATGAGCTTTATGGGGTTATAACACTGAGGGATGTGATCTCTTGTTTCGTATCAGAACCTCCAAATTACTTTGAGAACTGTCTCGGTTTCTCGGTTAAGGAAATGCTTAACCGATGATCTCTTGTTTCTCAGCTTTTTTTTGGCTTTGTTGTTTGTTCTTTCTTGGTTTAGATTTCTGAAGTTGTTGTCTTTATATCTAATTTGTAACCAACCATTTTGAGTTTTAAAGTTCTATCATTAACGACATCTTAGGATTGAAAATATATATGTACTGTAATGATTGGATAAAATTTTTTCTGTTTTATGGATTGTTCAATTTCATATTTGTGTTTGTGTAAGTCTCGCCAATTCAATGCAGCTGATTAAGTTCAACTTACAGGGAAGCCAAACTAAGAGTTTAATCAGCTTGAAACAAATTGTATAACTAACAAATGAAATGACTCACTCATGAATGATAGATCAATAACCAACCACATTACTTATCTTCTTCATGAAAAGGCTCATAACTCACCTCAACCGTTGACTACACCGCTCGATAATTAATATAGCCTGTGGGTGCCAAGATGTCACCTAGAGTCCCCCCAAACACTTCAGTGTTCATCAGATTGATTGATCGATCGATAGATGATAACAAAGTATGAACAATGAAGCGTTTAAGGGAACTCAAGGGGACATTTGACTTTACATGTTATGTCTCTTTTGCAAATGCTTCTTCTCTTACTCAACTGACCTTAGCGACTACCCAAACTGCATATTTATAGTCTATAGATACTTGCCAATGAAATTTTTTTTAAAAGAGGGACCATAGATTCTATATTCTTCATTGAATGGCAAAACATGCGGGAAATATGAGGATGAACCAAGTCGGAATTTTGGTAATAAGGAGCCAAGATAATATTTAATATTCCCATCAGTGTGCTACATAAGCACATTCTTCACAAGATCTTTCGTCCCGCAGATCTTATTCTACTCTTTTTTCCGATGTAAAATTGATTTAGAAACCCAATATAATAAAGTATAAAGGTATCTTAAAAATCTCACTATAGTAAAACTAAACGAAGAAAATTTTCCCTAAACATGGCCTTTAACGCTTACATATATCTGCATTTTCAAACAAGGTTTTCTCTGTCCGTCTTATCAATTAGTTTACGTAAGGTTATGTTAGGATGAAATAGAAACATATTTTTACTTTGGTGAAAAATATAATCGCGAAAACTAAATTGTCTTTTTCTGTCTATAAATAATACATCATAAATTTGAAGTAGCATGCAGTAGTGTATACACAAAAGAAGCAAAAAAAACAAAGGAAAAAAAATGATATGCATGTAAAAAAGCAAAAACAAAATCATATGTTCATTTACATGTATATGAGTGTACATTCATTGGCATCTATGCGTTTATAGAAACGTCTTTCTTATCTTGCAAAAAGCTGAAAGGAAAAAGAATTTATGCACTTTTCTTAAAAAATTTGATTCCCTCACCTAAAGCCCTTAACCTGAATTCACGTCTAAGTTCACAATGCTTCCAATTGTATATATAAAACGCCAGTCCCTCCATTCTTTTTCAAACCCTAACACTCTTATAAACCGAATTCGCCAAAATGTATCTACAATATATTGATAATGTAATATCTATATATTCAAACAATCGTCGTGTTGGTCGGATGTTTTCTAGAGTTCCTCTGAGCACTTCATTGGAGATACAATTTTTTATCAAATAGTTTTCTACTGAAGTGTTTGGGGGAACTCCCGGGCTCATTCGGTATTTTAAATTCAGTAGACTAGCTAGCTGAGTTTGATTTAGTGTTGCATAAGGTAAGGGATCAGTTAATATAGAATATTGAATTAATTTCATGTTGCTAAAATGCTTATATTTGTTCTTTTTCTCAGGTTCAATTCCAGTCTATTACTGCTACCTTAATCACTATATCGAGTATTGTAAAGAGGATTATCAATATGAGACTTGGGTTGTTAAAAAAAAAAAGGTTGATGTTGAGAAGATCCGACATGTTTAAATAACTAGTTCCTCCGTTTCATTACATAGAATGTTTTTTTCATTATATTTGATATTTTTCAAATTTCTATGTAAATTTTAAATTTATTTTACCCTTTAAGTCTTTGGACAATACAAATGATCACAAGTGTTCTTTAAAAACGCATGTGTCAAGTTAAAGGCATTTTTTGGGAAATAATTTGTACATCATATCCAAAATATGTCCAAAGAAAACTGATGTTTCCAAGTCTCGAACGTACCAGCTTGTAGGAATAATTGGATATGATGATGAGTTTGACCACAGAGGTATGTCCTCAAAGATGATGGGTGGAGACTGGAGAGAGATGTGCCCTGGTGGTTAAAGAAAATCCAGATCTCCTTGGCATAATTACAATCAAAGAACAAATGATATATGGCTTCCTCACTAATTCAACAAAAGTATACAGTCCAGCTTGGTTTTGCTTGATAAATTTGATGAGAGTAAACTTTATTTAGAAAGAATTATAATAGACTCTCATAAAAAAACTTGTACAAGATACATTTTTCTATATATAAATGAGATTAATCTAATTTTCTAATGTAAGGTAAAGATAAAAGTAAATAATATATTTAGAAATAATTGTAAATATTCATAAACTAAGATATGACAATCTTCTAGATCCTTCTAGATCTTCATGATTTTCATAGTCTTGGACAATCATCTCGACCGTCCATCTCCAGTTCTCCCAATAGGTATAAAGGAAATCATGCTTTCAAGAGCGAAAGGATCATGTGACGTCCCCTAGGCAACCTCCAAGAACCTTGATGAACAACTTGGGATACATAAGCAAGAAAAAAGAATACCTGACCCTCGTGGACTTGCGTCACCCATAAGGTTTGATTAATATGGCCCAAGAGAGTTCCAATTTTTGTGTCTGAACAGAGCCTCAGAACCACATACCAGCTGATAGGCATGAACTATTTCTATATCCAGCTCCCACCCACAAAAATCAGCTTCTCAAAGTCTTTCAGCTTTTATATAAAAACATTAATTTTATATTTTAATATATTTTATATGTATTTTTTGGTTTGAGGCTTTAACATGTGCATTGTTTATTCTGAGGTATTTTCCTTTATATTGAGTGTTGAACTCATTTGTTGTAGATGTAACTTTCTCAGAGAGATGAACTTTTTTTTTTTTAACTCGTAAGATTCTGATCATACAAGGAAAGAGATTGTTTAGCTAAAGAATCAGCCACCATACAAGGAAAGATGAACTTATTTTCTATTTTAAAGCATACCGTTGTTTAAGTTTGGTTAATTCATTCTAGACAGACCAAATTTTGGTGTTAAACCTACTTCTTTTTGGCTGGATCGAACCATGCATTAGTTCTATTGCCGGTAAGCAAAAATATCCAAGACTAGTGTAGTGTTGTAGGACAACATTAGAGGTGAATGAAATTTTATATGAAAATTATATATTTACTTGAAAATATATTTCGAATGTTTAAAAATAAGTTCTGAATGATAAAGAAGTTAAGGAATCCCACTTTTTTAATGCGTAAAAGGTATCATATGTTGATATACTGAAGAACAAAGGGACATGTGACTCTTGCCTTCCTTACTTATATGTATGTCCAATAGCCACCATATATATTTTGAAGCTTTTTCATTCTTCTCTTTTTCGTGGAATTTAAGACAAGGACCATCAAATTTTGATTCTTATCAAAACGTCTGCACATTTTATATTACCGAAGATGAACCTGGTCGATGTTTTGGACCTAATTAAAAGACATTGAAATTAAGAATAACTTGTGCCATGTGTTAAACAAGTTGCTCGATATATTCTATGTTTCATTAGCACACACTAGGGATTGGAAAAAACTACATTTTAAAATGGAGGCATTACCCCTAATTACAAAAAAAAAACACAAGTTATAAACTCCGGCATTAGTAATTTAACCTTTTGTTTAAAAAACCGTTTGAGTGAGTTAAACAAGTTGTGGACTCGAGGCTCAGCGATAGAATGTGGATTACTCACAAGAATATCTACTTGATGCGGTTTCGACCTGATGAAACTATATATTAGCACTAATAATCACAACTAATGGTATGTATGCCACTCATTTAATAGTTGACTGATAATATAAACCAATCTAGATTCGACCACCCAGAGATCTTGTATAGATGTACGTATGTTTTGTAGAATCAAATTTTCTGTCTCGTGAAGAGACAGAAGGAAAAGAAGTACTAATTCTCTTGTCACAACTCTTAAACCCAAGTTCACGTCCAGGTTCAAACACTCTCCCCTCACACTAACGTACATGAGATTCTTTAGTTCTCGCTATAAATTAGAATGTCACCCATCCTATCTTCCTCAAACAAAAATAGATCTAAGATCTTATATACCTACATTCTAACCATACAAGAAATATTTATGTTCATGGTGGTAACTAGCAACAACACAATAATAATTCGACTAGATGTCCTCTAGAGTTCTCCTGAACACTTCATTGGAAATTTGTTATTCAGTAAGCTAACAGTTAATTCCACTGAAGTGTTTGGGGGAACTCCCGATGTCATTTGGTGATGCCAAGCCATGTATGTAAAATGGTAACTTTATACTCTCTCTACTACCAACTATATTGTTTTGAATATACTTTTCTTTTTGTTTTAATTATTAATTTGATTAAACGATCCACAAAAATGAGTGATCGGAAAAATTCGCTCTAACATCGGAATGGTTAGAAAAATGATCGGAAAAGATGAAAATCACAAAACAACTCAAATTAACAAATTACAGGTTAAGAGGATCGAGGTTGTATATACTTTTTAGTTTGTATAAACGATTGTATTATCTTTAAACTCAATTTAAAGCACACATACATTTTGTTTATAAACATGAAACAAAATAATATTAATTAAAATAAATCTTTAACTTTCTAATGAAAAGATTAATCTCTAGTTTTATTACATTTTTTGGATGTTTAGAAAAGCTATGGACTTTTGATCCTCATAATCTTAAGTAACCTCTTATCAATTCTGTTTCCATATCATCTTGCAATGTATTAATTGTCAATTTGATTAGTTCTTCAATTTGGCTGCATCCATAAGGATTAAATTCAGTTACCTATTAATATATGTGTTGTTTTATTGTTTAATTATGACTCATCTTTCCTTCAAAAAAATAAATCTATAGCAATATCCCCTTCTTATGAACTTGGTTAGGAACTTAGATTTCTTTACTTTTTATCATGGTATCTACGTACATGACATGGTTCAGTGTTTGGCCACCCACGATATCTTAGCTACGATGAAGAGATTGTGTATTGTGCAAAGGTTTTCGTAGAGAATAAAATATGATATACCACTAAGTGATGATTTGATCTTAAACGTAATCGTTTATAAACTTTAACAAAAATGGTGTTAAATTGCTGGTAAACCAATGCAATTCAATCATTTAATTGCCAATAAATTTTCCTACTAAAATTATTATTTCTTAATTACTAATTATACTATTAAACTAACTAAAGGTTAATTATATAAAATAGGAATTCAAAATATTAAATGACATTGGCTTTTCCATAATATATACATCTACATTTCAACCAGACATTCTATAATCTTAAGAGAAAGTACCAAACTATTAACACACTATGCAAAAGTATATAATCAGACTCAAAAGGGTCCTTAGATCTCCTACTTCCCACCTTAAACGCAGAAATATCTCGAACCTTGTTATACTACGACATATGAGATGAAGGAGACATGACTATATTTTGAGTAGAACCCATCTTTTTTGAAGAAGTCTCAAGCTGTTGTAAAGTGGATAAGACATCAGCCATATCCGGTCTGAGCTTAGGTTCGGTATTGAGACACCGCAATGCGATGTTGGCAGCTGCACAAGCCCCTTTGTGAGGGTACTGTCCTCCAAGCTTTGTGTCCATTATTCTAAACACTTTTCTTCTGTCCACCAAATAAGGTATTGCCCAATCCACCAGGTTACGTTCCACTCCTACTTTCGATTTGTCTAGGGTGGGACGACCCGAGAGTAGTTCGAGCAACACCACTCCAAAGCTATAGACATCACTCTTGGAGGTTAACCGGCCGGTTGCTATGTATTCCGGAGCTGCGTACCCTTGTGTGCCTATCACTTGAGTTGTCACATGTGTTCTATCTCCTGTTGGTCCAGCTTTTGCCAACCCAAAATCAGATAGCTTTGCATTGAAATCCTGCATTTACAAGACGATTTTAAGATTTTGGGAATCAATGTTATATATTTCTAGTGTACACGTCCGTAAGTGGCAAGAAAACTCGGTTTTTACTTTTTTCTATATAGACTTACGTATTTATTTAGAAATTATATGTTTAGAATTCTAATTTCACTATTTTCCATTGGAGTGCTTTTTCATTTATATTTTAGTCGTAATGAGATGATGGCTCTTTGACGAATCTCGAATCAAAGCACGCTCTAAACTCGACAAATAATCTACTTCGGTCAAACTAGAACTTAATACTATATTCGGATTTATGAATTTTTAACTCAAAACCAACTGGCAATGAGGAAAATGATTCATATCTTTCATATATTAGTATACTACTCTAGATTTAATAAAGTGGAGCTTTCTATTTTCTTTTGCTTTAACAACTTCCTAAATAAAATATGGACAAGCATTGATAGTAGATGGCGTACCACATCAAGTAGAATATTAGAGGCCTTGAAGTCTCGGTATATGACTTTAGCTTCGTGGAGGAAAGATAGTCCTCTCGCTGCGCTAAAAGCTACT